GCTGACGTCACTAACATAGCTATAAGCTAACGCGCAACATGGAGGCGTCTCCCCCTCCTCCCCTCACCTCAACAAAAATCCCCCAAAAGATGAACACCTGCTAATAAGCTCAAAGTGACTTGAGGAGGAAAGCAGTTTTTTAAAAAGGGAAATTATGCCACACACCGCACCTCTGACACCCCCCTCTCCCCCCAAAAAAAAACAATCTTTTGGATCTGGACGATTCACGCAAATTACATTTTAGTTTGAAAATGGCAAATTTTGCCAAAAAGCAATTACTTTGCAGATATGCCAACAATGAACAATTGTAAATGGACTGTACCTATATAGCGCCTTTCTACCTTATTGAGATACTCAAAGCGCTTTACACTACAATCCGTGTCCTCATGTACGCATTCATACAGCACTCTACTAGATCTATACAAAGCTAACTGAACAAATTAATCAGAGCTTTATCACATTCATACACCGATGGGACACACATCAGAGGCAACAAGGGGTTCAGTGTCTTGCCCAGGGACACTTCAGCATGTGACTGTTGTTGGATTTGAACCCCCAACTCTCGCATCGGAGGACGACTGCTCCAACCACTCAGCCACAGCCGCACCCGACTTACTTTGTAAAGTAAAAACAGGTCTCTCTTGAAAATGAGTTCTCGTGGCTCAATGAGACTACCTGTATAAATAAAGGCTAAATGGAAAAAAAGAAAATCTCATTTGTTTTTGTTGTGAAAAAAGTTTGTGCCAAAATATTTTTTGTTAGTTCACCAACAAATGTAACTGAAACCTTCAGACTTCAAAATGTTTTTTTTTTTTTGCAGTAATACAAGTCATTTGGTTATAAAAAGTTTAAAAAAAAAAAAGTAGTCTTTTAAAAACAAGGGTTTTCTTTTGTTAAAATTGTCACCTAAATGCGCTCAATATAGTCTGATCTCTTCTAAAAAGACTTTTAAAACACCAGAACCGACATTGTTGTAAATACTTTACATTAAAAAACTGAAAGCAGCTTTCCTAAACACTAGTCTGGGGGTGGGCGATATAGCTCAGAGTTTCCCCTAGATAACTTGCCATGGCGGGGGCTCATCTCGTCCGTGATAGTTGTCCGGTGGGGGTGGGGAGACAGAGACATGTCCTAAGCTGTGCAGCGGCCGTTTAAACCAACAGTTGGGTTTTTTGGGGGGGTGGGGGATGGGGAGAGACACATCTCAGCCATGCACTGTCTGAACTAGGGATGGGGCCAATCCAATATCTGTCTCCGATTAGAGGATGACACGGGAGTGGATTTTCACTCCTGTCCTGGTCCCACAGAAAAAAAATCCTGTCCTGTCCCAGTCCTGGTAACATGACTTCCGCTCCTGTCCCGCTCCTGCTTTTCATTTAATTTTTAGGAAATGCATTGAATTTGATCTCCTACTCATTCCCGTTTGTGTTGTGCAGTTTTATTTCAAAAGATATGGCAACAGGAACAGTTCATCTGTGGTGAAATAGAGACATTTAATGCCTTAATCCAAAACAAAAACCTTCACTAAATGTCAAATAATACATGCCCTGTAGTCCATATGATTTTTCTATGGAGGATCAGCTGTTTCTAGATCTCTGAAGGTCAGTTACAGTAAAAACAAAAAAATCCAAACCAGTACATGGGTCACACCATGTCTACCTTGGAAAGAACCCAAACATAACAATTTGCATTTTACTAATAGAATAATAAATAATTAATAATAAAAAGAAGCTTAATTTCGTCTGCTTGTTACGAGCCATAATCCGATTTTTGGCAGGCAGGCGAAATTAAGCGTTTATTAAAGTTTATTTAAACTTTTAAATTTCCCTTAAAAATTGATTAAGGGAAAGGTAAACAGACCTTTGCTATAATGTCAAGCAAGTAAACAATTGTTTTTAGGTAATAATCTTGTTACGCTTCGAATAACAAACAGCGGGCATGCGCCAGTTTTTGGCACAACATGGCGGAAAAAATATAAAAAAAAACACCGTGGCCTGGCAGTGGGGGGGGGGGGACTACAAAATTCTTACTATTGCAAAAATATAAAAGTATCACATTTTCACACTACCATGAAAACACATCTCCAACATGGTAACATGGCCAAACTACTCCAACTAGTTGTTTTTTTTATGCATCAAACTGGACCGATGGTGCTAAGTAAGCTAATTAAGGTAACTCACCAAAATAGCTCTAAAAGTTCCAAGAAACAATCCAGTGGAGACTCTCTTGCAGCACTTCGAGGTAGGTACTTGTTCAGAGTTCACTGCGACTGCAGCTCCATCACAAGTGTTCATGAAACCATCTAATCATCTAAATTGGAAAGCAGCTCGCTTTGTTGTAAAATGGCGTCTCTCTTTTTTTCATTTTCCGCTGCGTGCCCCCCGGTGGTGCATTCAGGTAACCTCGGATTTTTCTTATACTACCGATATATTCAAGAAATTTTGTAATTTTAAATCTGTAACCCAGGGTTACATATGTATATATATATATATATATACATATGTAA